AGTGTCCCACAAGAGTGTCCCACAAGAGTGTCCCACAAGAGTGTCCCGTAAGAGTGTCCCACAAGAGTTTCCTACAAGAGTGACCCACAAGAGTGTCCCACAAGAGTGTCCTACAAGAGTGTCATTTGGACATATGTAGCTTTTGGAACGTGTTTGCATTCGGGTTCGTGGGCTCCATCTTGTTTTCCGTTTCTTTCTGTGCACGGCACCCAGATGCATCCAGGCCATTGTGGGGGTTGGTACCTTAGAATATCTCATCGACCAGTTGAAGGGCTCCAAACATCAAGCCTTGATCGTGCAGAGCATGTGCAAGGCGAGGCCCGCAGCAATGTGAAGACAAGGTGAAGACGATGCCCAGTTTTGCTTGGCTTTTGACCCCCTGCATTTTGTTTTTGATTTGCAGTATGTTTCTTTTAGGATGCATGAGAGACTCGAGAGACGTAGTTTCACTGATGCATGAACCTGACCTGGGCCATGCCATGACAAGCTTTCTTTTCGCCTCCCCGCAGGAAGTCCCCGAGTCACGTGAGTTGGGGGTTCTTCAACGGTGTCATCACAACTGACGCGCTGTTGCAATTCCATGATTATTTAGTTTATCCTGTTCATTCACTATGCCAGGCACTCAAGGACCTGGCGCCAGCCGAGGCAGTTGGTACGGCAATTATGGGCCATTGGGTTATGTGATGTGTATGGGCTTGCTGAGTGCAATTTGTTGATGCCGTCCAACTCTTATCAGTTCCACAGTTCCACAACAGAAATTGCACTGTGGCTTTTAAGTTTAGATATGTTTTAGTTTTAATACTTGTTTGCCTTCAATCTAGGTTTGGTAGTGGTCCTGACTTGCATTTTTCACCCAGGCAGCGGTCCAAATCCTCAGAACCTACAAACTCCTCGACCTCGTGTTCGAGGCGGACGTGGGCCGCCATGTTTTCAAAGCAAACAAAGCAGGACACGTAAAGATGAACAACATGTTCTGTGACCAGACCAGCGGCAAACGTTCACGAATTTTTGAACACGTACATGAACTGTTCGGCGGGCATATGTTGTCGCTTGATGCTAATGAGGTGAGGCCTTCCAACATCTTCCAACAGGGTTGAGGATTCTATCCAAGAACCGCCTTTCCGTTTATCGGTTTCAACACAGCTTGCTCATCCCTCGCGGTGGAAAGAAAGGCGGCGGACGAGCATTTGGAGGAACCGCCACTGGGATGACAAAGTTGCAAAAATGGATTCACGGGAATCATGTCCTTCTTCAGATCTACCATCGTTTGGTCGTCAGGCAATGTAGGTTGACAATATGAAGAGGTATCACCACGAGAACTCCGCTGCAAGTTGGTTTGAATCCACTCAATGCTCTTAGCTGTATGCAATGCAATGCCATCATGTGACGTTCATGTGATAATTCCCGTTCAGGACCCAAGCCCAAGCTTGAACTTGCAAGCAAGACTACTACATGCTGCCATGCTGATTGAGTGTTGCTAGGATGGAGCAGCAGGCAACGAAGCTTACAATGAGAACCAACTCCCTACAACATCCTCCACAATCTGGTGGCATTGTTTGTCAGATATCATTCAACTTACTGGAAAGGACAACAATTTTGGCCTCAAACTGGCGTGGTGTCCTTAAATGTTGCTGTTACACACCTTGCGGCAAGCCCTTGAAGAGGATGTCAGCAGCAAACACTTGACAGCACAGTGCACCAACCGTTTATGTGACCTTTTTGCACCCTTCCCCATGCACTAAAACATTAAAATATATCAGACAGAGATTTGAGTAATTTGAGGTAGAATTGCACTGGTAGCTGGTAGAGCATCCAATTATAATCACTTTTCAGCTGAGGCATGTGATGGAAGCAAGTCTGGCGCTGCTTTGGAAGCCTGGCGCTGGGATTTGAACGCCTCGCCCGGATCATCCTTGCTCCAGGTTGTTGGGCAACAGGTCAATATATATATATGTATATACATAACATATATATATATATTTATTTATGTGTATATAATTGTATATATATATATATGCATGTTATTGTATATTGCATGCCCATGGTTTTCGATGACCTTTCTCTTGTGTCCTTTGTCATCCTATGTCTATCTCCCGATAGAAAGGCCGAAGACACCAGCCGCGGGAACGGAACCGACCGCGGCCCCGAGGACTCTTTCGGCCATTCACCGGTATGCAGAGGAGCTGAACCGAAAGGGCACCACACAGAGGGCCTTGCAGGCGTTGTGAAGCGCAGTGAGGGCGTGAGGGTGTCGTTGTATGCGTGAACTGGGTGGTGGGTGGTGTACGAACATCGACGTGGAAGCTGGTTTGCCAAAAGGCCATTTCCATCCAGATATCTTACAATGACGGTCTTTACACAACCCGTGACATTTCGGAAACGGTGTGGCTGCGTGGGAACGTTCACAAGCCAGTCAAGAGCACGTTCCAGTCAAGACACCATAACCGATAACCAACGATGCTGAGACTCAGGTCGTGCAGAACTAAGCCCATTTCAAAAGACATCAACTTTGGAGACGCGACGGAGAGGAACACTCAAAGCGAGAGAGAGAGAGAGGAACACTCTAAGAGTTGAAGTGCCAGCTAATCGGTCCATTTGGGCGCTCCGGGTGGAAACCCAAAAACCAAGGGCCAACAGGTTGAAATGGGTAAAGGCGAAAAGACTGCCATCCCAAGAGGTGCCGCAGTGTCACGGGTTTGGATCTGTTTAGAGCAGATGAGGGGGAGAGAATTGATGGAAATCGTGTTAATACAGGCGTTTGCTATGGCTTGCTTGTGGCTTTTCAATGCTTTTACATGGCAGTTCATCGGGTATTCTATGCGCAGTTGCTTTGTGATTCCAAGGATCGCATTGAGATGCATTGAGTGTCTATTGAAATAGCTTTGGGCTTTGGATGGCATGGAAATACCAAAGGATATGCGTTTGTCTTCAAGACTTGGGTGGATTTGCAGCTTTGGTCAGAGGAAACATAGACAAGCCAACCCCCTTGGGTCAAGATGTCCTCCACGTGCTCGCAGGTGCTGCAGAGGCACCGTGCTCATCATGAGGCAAAAGCGAGGGAGAGATGGCCAGGGTGCACATTTGACTACGAGTCGCATCGAGTCGCCACAAATACAAAGCGAGCTCTCCCTTGAATGCATCCAACACTCGGACGGATCATGCCACAAATTGATGGAACGCCACCTGTTAGACGACTTCGTCTTCCCAAGTGACGGTGACATGCCATCCGCTTCCACTTGTCCATCGCAGACGTCAGGTTTGCCGCTGTGGCGCGGGCCTGCTCCGGAACCTCTTTGCCGCACCGCTGAGAGCCTCGGGCGAAGGAGGTGGATGACTCAGGGAACCCAGTATAGTGATCCCAAATAGATAGTGGTGCGTTTTCCAATACATTTTTCGAGGGGATCTACTTTTCTATCTATTTAATTATTTGGGGGACCATTATATATAGTACGTTATATAAAGTTATATAATATTATTCTGGATGGGGCATACTCTTCAGTATGCTCAATGCAGATGACCGATGCTGGCTTCAGCGCTGAGGTGCCAAGGCGGCAGATGACTGCCTCGCGTCCGGTGGCGTGAGGCTGCAACTTGGGGAGTGCGACAGATGACTTGCATCATCTTGCATCTAGGAAAATGAACAAGGCTAGCAGGGAAAGTGACTGGTAAAGATGCCCAGGTAAAGTGCTCCTTGTAGACGTTCGTAGGTACATTGCTACAAATTATCAACACATCATATCAAACAGTACATAAGCCCTCCCCCCTAAAATATACAAAATATATACACATATATCATATATCTTCTAATTTGGTGAGGGTTTGCCTATGAAGGTCCAGCTCAGTCAAACGGCGAAAGATCTGGTGAACAGCGGGCCAGGCTGTTGCTGGAGGCATTGTGGCAGCATTGCTTGCCACCGGTCCAGGTTGGAACACCAAATGTTTTGCTCAACCATTCAGCCAAGTGTTTTTCTTGCCTTCATGCATACATCGAACATTTCTATACTGCAACCCTATATTTTGTTTCAGACATTTGTCAGCTCTCTCTCTCTCTCTCTCTGAAGATGTGCTCCGGCACAGCAGCACAGGGCACGATGTCGCAAGCCGCCTGCAGCTTGATGGCATTTGATATTTGATAGCCAGTCTCAGGTAATTACTTTCCACAAGGATTCGGAGGTGTTCGGAGGTGGACAATAAGGTTTACCAAAATATCCTACGAACTAAGAACATGTCCCAATCAAGCTTCATGAACTTGGGTTATTTTGTGGATCTTCAAGGCAGATGGAAGATCCTTCCAGTTGGGAAATCTCGGGAAGATAGAAAAGCCATGTGCGCCGACTAAGACACCATGGCCAAGCGTGGGAGCATGGACTCCATTGGCTCTTCTCCAGGCAAGGGGATGTCCCCCGTGCAATACCATTGAAGTGATGATATAAACAGATGGTTATGGACATCAGAAGGCTTCAAATATATGGATCTCAGCTTTGGTAGATGGGTAATGAGCCAGGTCCTGTGTGATGTGCATGCATCTCGTCTCCATGGATTGCAGGGAATGGTCCCAAGAGGGCTGGCTCTATTTTGGAAGCAGGCCTGCGGGTGTGGCAACACAGCACGGGAACCTCATGGAGCCGTGGGGACGATCATCCACCTGGGTCACAAGGTGCCGAAAGTTGGACTGATGGAATGACATGGAATGACACTCTCCCTGGAACTAACATGGTTACGTGGATGGCACCACCTGTTTGTAGTGGATTTCATGGTCTTTCCTTCGGGGCCATTCTCCACTTCCATGTGAGTTTTCGGGAGTGTATGGAATGTGTGGAAAAGACGTTCCCCCAGTACAGATAGTACATGATAGTAGTGCAATGTTGCAATGTGTACACCTGGGTGTATGGAAATTGCAGTCAAAACGGGGCGAAGTGGCTGATGTACACCACGCGCTTCGCACACAAAAGTTCCACTATCCACAAAGGGAAAGCTGGTGCTTTTTCTAGAGAAACAGACTGCAAGTCCTTCCTGCTCAAACAATGTGAGGGCACTTCCTCAATGTACCTCATGGTGACCATTTTGGGGGATCAGATGCATCTCAAGAGCTACGGACATCCAATCTCAGGCTCTTCCGATTGTAGCCTGAAGTTGCTTCAACTGGAACCTCTTTGATCATGTTTGAGCCTGTTTTCTTGCTGGTCCAGTTCCCACCCATCTCACGTCAGGCAAAGCAGTCCCGCGCGCTGGGAGCACCTTGGCCCGGGATTCGCAACTCGAGGCCTGGGAGCACCTTGCATCGGTGGAGCGGTGGGCGTGCATTTGAAGAGGGAAACCCCATGTCGGGCCGTACACTGGTGGGGCCGTTCTTTTCTTCCGGGGTCGGGTTTTTTCCTGCAGTCAGCTACACACCGTCAGTCGAGCCGTGGAGGTGGACGATTCCGCTTCCTCCCATTGACTCATCGGCCTTGGTTTGTAGGGTGATGAGTCATGGTCAATGTGGCATGATTGAGCAAAGTCATGATGTCATGGCTAGAGGCAAAATCAATCATGGGACATTGTGAGGACCATTACATTTCGAGAAATGTTTTGGAAGATTCATGGGACATTTGGAAACGGTTTGGCTGCCAGCCGCAATCATTCATTGTGTTCAGGCACGTGAGGCATCACGAAAGTCAGATGAATCGGTTTGATCTGTTTGAGCTCAGTCATGTTCGAGTTCTATCACCTTTCGATCTGAAATGACGAAAGCACCTTGATGAACTCGATGGATCTTTTGGCGAACTGGACAGCTCGTCCTTGGCGTCTTGAAATCGGGTGAACCCACGGCCACCGCCGATCACGGTGCCACTGCCGCTCTCAGGGTGCCAATCCGAGGCGTGCGGATGACTGGGTGTGGCATCCGGTCCATAGGATTCCATAGGTCTTTACCATGAAAACGCACACAGCATGAATTTTCGTTCGGATGCCGAACCTTGGTTGATTTTGGTCCGCCGTAACCGTTACAACCCTTGTCTCCAAGGCCCATTTACAAACGCGATTTTCGGCTGGGCAACTCCAGATTCATGCCGCTTTTGCAAGTGGCCGTGGGGCGCAAGAATCAACATGTTGAAGAGTTATTATATACGTGCCACAGCTGAACATGCTGGAAACAGGAATCCAGGGTCCAGGGTGTGCAAGTAAAGATGCCACTTCCTTTAGCTTCAGTCGTTTCTTTTGTGCACAGAGGATTAAATGCGTTCACGCTGGCAGGGTCACGAACCGGCGGAACTCTGTGCGGCGGAACTCTGTGCGACGAGTGAGCTCATTGCCTGAAGATGACGTGATGGGTGGCTGACAGGTCAACGCGGTATGTACCCAACCTAGAATCACTCCTTCACCCGGCTGCTCGATTTGTCTCAGAATGAAGCACCCCTTTAAAAGAAGTTTGATCATGTTCACTTAACCTAGTGTCCCTTTACAGGAGGTTTGGCAGTGTCCCCCTGCTGCAAGGCAAGTCTTTATTTATACACTCTCAAAAGGAAGGAAGAACTACTAACTTCCAGGCAAGCTTCGGCTTACAACAGTGGGGCCCAGCATCGTTCCAGTATGTTCCAGTTTCAGAAGCGCAGAAAGGTGACCCACCCTTGGATGATTAATATGGGATAATATGGGCTTTGTCAGCGTGCAAAGCTTCCAAAAGAGAGCCGAAGAGTTCAGGGTTGTCAATATGTTTGATGCTGGCCCTTTCAATTTTTTCTCGGAGTTGTTTGGAGCGCTCAGGTGACCCTGATCTGTCAGTGAAAATCTTTGATTTGGAAGCTTGGGCCCCAGAAGCAACACCTCTCGCGAGCCGAAACCGGACGAAACTGCACGATCCATCGGAGGTGCGGCTTTTCTTGGAGTGACATAATGTAGACCTTTGATTCACACACCCTCACAATTACAGTAGTTTGGTCCGCCTCGGGGCTTGCAATTAAAAACGCCTTTCAGAAAAAGGAAATCTTCAGCCAATGTTTGAACATTTTGGACTTATCTCGGAGTTTGGTCCACCTTTCTTGGGACCATTTTTTTGGCAATACCAACCGCCTTTCTTCCCCATCTTCAGCCCCTTTAATTCCACAAATCCCTCATCCTATGGTCCTACATTGCCAATAAAAGAACCCTTTTCTAGTTCAATTTCTAGTGCGACACCAACCGCACAAGAGTAGTTTGATGCTCATCGTGTCTCTTCCATTTTCCATATCTTCAGCCTCGTCCTTCTCACCGAATACTCCTTCTCCACCACCTATAATGCATTTCATTGATTCGTTCTTCATAAGAATCTCATGGCCTTGGACCTGGCCACATATCCCTTAAAATCACCCAAAATCCCAGAACCACTCCCCGAAAATCATCTATAGAGTTCTTTAAGGCCCTACGAACAATTGACTTGCTGACGCTCCCAAAGGGGGTGCCCCATAACCCCTCTATTCATAAGCCCCCGAATGAATGTGGTCCCATCAGGTGTGTGAACAAATAATCCGCCACCGATTAAGCTTCCCACAGGCCTCTATTGATCTAATGTACTTTCCAATAAGCTGATCCCAATGTTTCTCCTCCACTTTCCTAGCTTGTCACCTGATCCTTCCTCATAGAGACTTCCACGACATAGGTTCTTGCCTTCATTTTCCTACACTTCTTTCCAATCCTCATCCTTCCTCATTTGCTTTCTCTTGTGCTTCTCATGCTCACGCAAGTCCTTCCTGATGTACAATATTCTCCTCGATAGCCGGCAAGTCTTCCCAATCAAAGATCCCATCCTGTGGTACCACACATGACTCATAGCCTCCACTCCTGTGTCCCACTCTTCTCATGGTGCTCTTCAACAAGCACCTCATGGTCATCCTCTCCCTCCTCATTTCATTCATTCATGTCAGTGGGAATAGGCTTCCTCATTTGGTGCCACACCATCCTTCTATGGTTCTTGTAGGCCTGTGAGACTACCTCACCAGCTATTAACCATTGAAATTACCAAAGACCTCATCCAATGTGCAGCACTCACTCTTTACATACCTTTCAAACTTGCGCGAGATTGAATCTTTGGGGACCCTCCTTTATGAAGAGATTTATATAGTCTTGGGATCCTCATGAGATTTAATCTTGGGGATCCCTCCGCCCGCATGAAGAGATTTTTAGTCTTGGGATCCCTCCTCCTCATGAAGAGATTTAGTCTTGGTGACCTCTCCTGATTGACCACCCCCAATTAAAGGCACATCCACTTTCCTCCCCTCTGACAGCAAACCTTGGGAGGGGTTTTTAATCCGGTGTCGACATTCCGGGTAGGTGCCGTATCATAGTATTGTGGTAGTGTGACCCAATCTGATTCTTCCCACTAGCTGTACCACATGTCAAACGACCATTTCAGGGTCAGGAATTTCAGGCCGCCGCACTTGCCCACCAGACATGGATACCCTGCAACAGTCCACTTTGAAGTTTGAAGCCATTTCAGACTGTGCGGCAAATGATGCCAGCTGGGCCAAAACTACAAAACCTACCTGTTTGCACAGCGGAGCCATTAGCTGGCAGTGAGCCAAATGACTCTAATGCAAGCATTTATGGGATCTATGTCAATGTACTCTATACTATACTGTATAGAGGTCCGTCCCTGATGCGGCTTCATTGCATTCGGAGAAAGCAATCAAATCATTGCAAAATTTAACAGCGCCTCATACGCTTGGTGCCTGAGTGTGCCCCAAAACGATCAGGTGACACCCACGAAACACCCACCAATCAATGATTGTGGATCAAAATTTTCAAGAGCAGCAAGAGCAGCCTCCAAGTCCAAGTCTGTCCTTTGGAATCTTTCTCATGAGTGCCCATTTCACTGAGCTTGTTACGTACATTTGTCATTTGCCCTGATGTGGCACTTGTGCATCGCAAGCCACTGAGATGGCCCCTCAAACGGTGGTTCTACAAGATGCTAAGCTTACACTGACTAGAGTTCACTAGATGCCATGTCGCTGACTGTCGAGAGTGCTGGGTGGACTTGGGCAAACGGCACCTACGTGGCCGTCTCTACGCATGAAGATCAGGCAGTTTACAAGAACCCTCATGGCTTTCTTTTGAGCTATGAGCTAGATAGCACTTGGCAAGGCTGGGTTTTGGGTTTCGCTGGGCACCCACTCTATGCGGCTCCTGTTTGCACCGGACCTTGGCGTGTGGTGCCTGGCTGGGGAAAGGAACCTCCTCCCACAGTCGCACTGACAGCTGATGCAGTTGACCTAGCTGCTTCATGCCGAGCAGATGCTTCAGCGGACGTGCGTGCCGCAGCCAACGTGGACGCGGAGGAGGCCCGTGCAACTGCGGCCTGGAACCTTGATCGAGCGGTGGACGCGTTGGCGCGAGAGGATTGGAGCTCCTTGGAGGAGCACCTCAGCTGTGCATCCAAAGGCTTGGCCGGCGAAGCGGAAGACAGTGCTTTGCAGGTGGAGCTGCGGGCGTTGCAGTGCGCCGCCGTCGAGGGAAGGATGGGAGCTTTGGAGGGTGATGACGCTGACCAAGGGCTTCAAGAACCAAAGGGCGTGACAGAAGCAACCGAAGCAGATGGAGGGCGACCGAGGGCTCTCACCAAGGCAGCAGAGGCAATGAAAGAGGGCGACCGAAGCAGAGAAGAAGGCCATATTTTCAAAGCGGATGAATGGTATTCTGCGGGCCTCCGGATGCTTTCTTCTTTCGATGCTACGGCTGATACCCTAAGATGCTCTCTACTACTGAAGCGCGCCCAGGTTCTTCAGCAGAAATGGCAGCACAAGGAAGTTCTCACTGACTGCCGCTCTGCGCTGGAGATTTGCACAGATGATAAACGTCAGGAGCTGCAACTCCTTGCGGCAGAGGCCTGCAAGTCACTTCATGACAAGGCAAATGACACTGGGGAAGCTACGACAAGTCATTGGATGCAGCTGGCTGTGCGTTACCTGGAATCTGCCACTGGGCCTGGTGACCATGCGCTCCAGCGGCGGCTGCGGTCCTGGCGACGGCAACTGCCACCTCGCCCACAGCCGGTACCCATGCCGCCCTTCGATTGGAGTACGGTACCCATGGCTGAAAAGGCTAGATATTTTGGCGACATCAGGCGTGATGATGATTGAAAAAGGTCCTCCGATTACCGGGTGCTTGCTCGGGGCAAGCGCATCATGGTTTGCCTGAGCACGTGTTGGCATGTCGACGGCATTGATTACGTACCGCCACGATCCGTCCCGCAAAGCATTGTGCCAAACTCAAAATAATTCCTTCGTGGTTAGCGGGCTAGGCCGCTTATAGGCTCAAATCCCAACTATGACATTTGCCCAAGAACAGTTTTGAACTAATGATTTGTATGTTGCAAGATGCCCTCAACATTTGTCCGTTCATCTCATGAGAGAGGCGTCATGAAGCATGAAAGGGTTAAGTTCCGTGTCAATATCCCTGCTGTTGGAGCTCCGAGCAAGTCTGATGTAAGGCTCTTACATTGCCGAGCACCCGGGGGGCATGGATTCCATTGAGCGTGATTTGTTGTTGGGGCGTGGCTCAACAAAAGGCATAGGGCGACTCCGAACCTGCACTTCAAAAGAGATTGGATATCGAAGCACTAAAAAGCCAGATGAACATAGAGCAGCCGTGACCCTGGCAGAACATGCTTGCCTTGTTGAAACATTCCCGCATACTGTCATCAGTCCCAGCTCTCATGTAACAAATTAGCTTACGGTGCAATTCCAGCGTTCATTGGAACATATTGGAACCTGGAACCTGGTGGTACCCCGAACCCCCTTCGCAGCGAATCCAATGCACCATCCACACAGACCTTCCGTGTAGGGCACCCCCCGTCGTATGCACGCTCGAGAGCTCCGGGCGTCGTGCACGCGCCCGAGGCAGCAGACCGAGTCACCACCGAGGAGAAGATGGCAGTCGCCGATGCTGGAGAGCAATCATGTGGTATGTTCAGGGCGGCAATGGGCTGAAGGAAGCTGAAGTGGATCATTGGTTGAGCATGGCTTTGCAGTTGATTGTAAGGGTGGCCCCATGTCTTTCCAATAGTACTATATTGCCTGGTAGATGATTCATGATGATCATGATGATTCAATGGTCCGAACCTTCCTTTCATGTTCTCTCTCTGTCTCTAAGACTGCTTGATCAAGTCCTTGTTTAGTCCAAAGCTGCTGAGAGTGCTGCTGAGCTATTTGTTGAGGAGGGATATGGAGGGATGAAGTTGATTAGATACTGTACTTGAATGGGCACCCCCATGTTCCTGCAATATGTCTTGTTGCGTCGGCGACTATATATGTTGAAAGGGGAGGTTTGCGAACTCTCAACAGTGAGTTAGGTACGAATGTCCATGTCAGCGGGAACCCAAGGAACAGATTCTGGCTGCGCTGAAGAACTTGGTTGCCTACAGTGGCTTTGCTGAAGGGGAGAAAATTCCATGGAGGAGGGAGCAAACTTTCATGGTGGTATAGCGCCACGACTTGTCATGCCGATGAAACAGTATTTTTGCAGGTGAGTGCCCTATAGCCATGCGAGCAAGATGTACAGTAGATTAATTGACGATCATTCCCTTTGGGGGGAGGCCCGGAGAACCATGTCATCATGCTGACCAGGACCTCAACATGTTGCCATTCGCGACACGTTATTGACGGCACAGAGCAAGTTGAGATATATATGCTATCATGCTCAGGGTCCTGGCATACAACAGGGAAGGGGTACCCAAAAGGAACTTCAGCAGAACAGGCTATCAGTATTCTTGGTTCCCAGCAGTTCCTGGTATCGAATGTTCACCTCAGCTGAGGCAAGCTAGCCGCGGCGCTGGCGGAAGAGATCTATCGGAGTGAGGAGTGGGACAATCTGCGCATGGTGGTGGAGTTGTACCCGAAGAGCATCATGGTGCAGTCCCTCGGGTTGAATCACATAGAGAGAGCCAGATTCAGAGTTGGGAGGAACATCATGCTCTGCGCAGGGTCTCGGTCCAACTTCTCAAGGGAGGCCTGCAAACAAAGCTTTAGCCTTTGGGTAGCCTCAAAGGCCAAGGACGATAGACCTTGGTAAAGTTACAGACCTGGCATTTCATCCATAGCCCTATGGTTTGCTGTGGTGATCAACACGCGGGAGCCCAGTTTCCGTCGATACCAACCAGCGATGTGCCGCCGCCCAACGATGTTTGTTGTACTGTGCACGTAGCCTGACTATGCAGTAACCATACCTACACTCGCAGCAACAAAGCTCATACAGTTATATTATCCTATATTACACACGTGCATGCTGCTTATCACATTGCATGAAGGGATGCAATGACAATGACCCGCGTGTTTTTGAAAATGCACCTTTCAGGTTTTCCGTCATACCATCCGGAGACATTAGCCCACGGTCCACCAAACAATTCCAGCAAGTTGGCCAATAGTTGTTATTCTTGGAAAGGACTGAAAAGATGAAAATGGAACTCTTTTGTTTCTTGCTATATATATATATATCTATTTGCATGGCAGAGCTGTTGTTTATTGGTGGTGGTGGTGCCGGCGACGGTGCGGGTCAAAACCAAGAAAGGAGAGAAGGACAGTGAGACCAGGATGTCCCCAAATCTGGGAGAAACTTGACACCTATAGCCGATACTAGTAGCCTAAAACCTATAAAACACGAGTCCATGTTCAAAGCGTTATGAACGGGTTTGCAATATTTCAGCACATATTGTCTGTGTACCATACCATTCCCCATGGATCAATCGGCGTTCATACACCCGATTCTGCAGGTCCGAGGTCTGTGAGGGATGGAAGACCGAACTCCGAGGATGGAGCACTTGAAATGGCGGCCCAAAATGATACCCAAAAAAAAAGAATTTGGAGGGTTGTCGGGGGTTCTCCGCTGTTCCATCTAGGTACTCCGAACCTATGGCATGAAGGAAATAAATATTTGCCTATAGTTCACCCGGTCAGTACTTCAAGCCTGTTATATAGGTAGATTTCATGACTCAGCTGCTTGCCTACCACTCAACGATTTGTTTTGGGACTCAGCTTGTCAATCGTTTTCTCGCTGAGGTATCAGGGCTTCGAGCTCATCGGTAAGCTGGTCACTGAAAAACGAGAGCTCCGGGCGGCCTTCCGAGCCATTGCAGAGCCAAAGATGTGAAATGGCGTGTGTCCGAAAGGTATGGCCACAGATGTAACATATTGTAGACTGTCAAGGTGGAAGCAGACACCTGGCTTGGCTTGCTTGCTAAAACCATAAGATTCGTTGGGTCATTGAACGGTTCACATGTGGCAAGGTTGGAGAACTTGCCAAGCATTCGGAATCTCGGAATCACACTCCCACAAATCCCACAACCAATAATTAGTACTTACATACATAGTCTTCCTCAAATCCTTTCCTTCCCTTCTTCCTGGTCAAACTTTGCCCTTGCCATAGCCCCGTGTTCATTTTGGCCTTAGTGGTTGGCATCGTGGCAATCTCGGGGTGCCCACCGTTGCTCCGTTTCTGCGGGCATTTTTCATAACTTTATCATATTGCCTACACGTCTACCGTATATGCTATACTATCTATATACTTGAGAAAGTGGGACATCCCAGCTAAGTCCAGCTATATAAGTCTTCCATTGCATCGAAAGTGTGAATCAGGGGCCCGACTGCAAGGCCGCGGAACTCACCGAACCTCCAATGATTGTCCACCGAGGACCATGTCCTGCTCACCAACCTCAACCACCGGAACACGCCTGTGGCAGACGTGGCCGAGCTGTTGTTGGAAGCCTTGAACTGATCCGCACGCGCGGCCGGAATTCCATAGTTTGCCAACCATACTCAGAGGTTCAAGCAAGCGCAGCTGAATCATGAAACAGGTGCTTTGCTACAGCAACGGCCCTTGTTTTCACAGTGAATGACTTGAGTATCTTTGAGTGCGGTTTGGCTGGGTGGAGGTAGAAAGGTCACACAGCTTGGCTGGTGGCCTCGTAGGAAGTCTTGTACAGCGTTGCATGGTGAGTCGACCCTTCTCCAAGAGAAGGTGAGGCTCACTGCCCAATTCGATGCCAATCGTGCAAGTTATCATAGCGATCGCAGGAGTCAAACCAAGGTAGGTGATTTCGTGGGCAGCCAATTGTTATTTCGTTAATCTCTTTCCATTCCTATTCGGGTTTACGGTGGTGCCAACCAATGGACATGCTTTTATTTCACGGTTCGGGCCCAGTGCCGGCCTGGCCGGGGAGGAGTGCCAGCTTCAAACAGAGTGTGGTTTTTCACCGCCTCGTTCACGGCGGACTGCCACGGTCAACCAGCTTCCGTTTTGACCTCGTTCTGTGGCGATGCGATGCCGCTGGGCTCAGCTGGGAGAATTAGTTTGATGGAAAGATCATGGGTGGTTTACCGGAGGAGGAGCTTCTAAGGCAGGGGTCTCAGTCGTGAGTTGCCCGAAGAGAATGATGGAAAGCTTGAAGAGCTCGAAGAGCGGCAAAAAACGTTCACCCAAACGGTACAGACCGCAGAGGCGTGTGACATACAATTCTTTTCGCTGTCCTCCCCATGCTATACTGGCCCCCCCAATGGTTTGAGATGGTTTGAGTGTGGGCTGCTGGCAAGTGCTGAGGCTAGGGCGTGCTCGAGCCTCAATTGACCTGACATCCCGAAGAGTTCAGAGCAGTGGCCTTTGTGATGTTTGTGAGGTTAGCATTGGATTGATTGGAGCATTTGTTTGGTGTTACATCTACATTTGTTGGTTGCATAATGTTGCATAGTTGTATGCATCATAGCTCTGCAACTCATTGATGCTGCCTCCATTTTCAGTACCCTTTGCTAGCCGGCCATCCATGGACTTTTGGTTCGCCAAGCTCCCACTCTTGCAGGGTCAATGTTTGTCACGTTAGATCTTTGAGGCACGCACCCTCTCTTGATGGACGTAGCGTCAAGAGTGTTCAACCCCTGCTGCCAACTGCAACGAAGTCACGCCTCAAAACCCAAACAGAAGCTTGGAGCAAGAGCTGCGCGTCCGTCAAGGACCTCTGAAGTCCCAGTCATCTCCAGTCATCTCCAGTCCCAGGAGCCCCGCCTAGTGACTTTCACCATCAGCTCGCTGGCGAAGGAACTGGAAGTCTCCAGGATCTTCCAGTTGTTGGGACCTCAGACGGCCGACGGTCCACCGCATGCGGATGTGTCATGGACCAACCTATTTGGGCTAGAGGCTTAATTAGCTTCTTCAGGTTGGTTGCGGACCTACTGGAGGTGATGGTAGTTCAGGTGATTTATAGGTTTCAATAGAGCGGCAAGCCAAGTAGCAGATGCATCTGACTGACTAGCCCCGATCTCGTAAATTTCCTGATGAAGTGCCAGTAACTGAACTGTTGAGACTTCAATTGAGCTTATTTATGTGTTTGATTTGATCGTTCTTGGCCTCCAAGTTCCGTTTCAGGCCCCAGAGCCCCAGAGGCCTGAGGAGCTTGGAATAGAGCCCCACATTGTTAGGGAGTATGATCAGTGTGACCATGCACGGTGTCCGAGTAGATGGCACAAACATGCCGGTCTTCGGCGGCAAAGCAACCCAGCTTTGGATGGAATCCGGACCCAGCCTGGGTTGCCTGGGTTGCACGACCTCTGACTCTAAGGCTGGAAGATTTGAGGCATGTTCGAGGTGACTTGGCCTGTACGAAAGGATCAGAACCAGTGAGAAGAGAAAGAGAGAGGGAGAGAGAGAGAGAGAGGGAGGGAGGCAGGGAGAGCGTGCGGCGCAGCAGACACGGAAACGGCCCCTTGGTAGAGGAACACAGTTTGCTACCACCATAGCCACTAGGGGCCATGTATTGCTATGTATTGTCCTGTGAGGGTCACTTAGTGTAGGGGAGCATACATGAGCAAGAAAGGAAAACAGAAAATGATCAAGATGAGTAGCCGAAAGCTAGATGCCAGGTGGGAGCTGCTGGGACACTGATTATGTTCAAGTGTACGTTGGTTGATGTACAAATAATTGCACCCAGTATAATGCTTGGCCAGTTTGAGATTATCAATGTGCAAATTGGTGAGGTGAGGTGAACCGATTCCACCTCAATGCTGCCATGATGGTGCTTTGGCAGCAGATTGAGTTCTGGATATTTGGCAGATGTATACAAGGCATATCAAGACATCAAGACAGACATGGGGGCACGTCGCAGACACCTTTACCTTCCTGTGTAGAATGGGCACATTGATGAACAATGGCAAACCCACGGCGTAAGTTCACTCAGCACATCTCATCTACCAGGTCTCGCCCGGCCCTCAAGGAGACAACTCTCACAGAGACAAACTAGCGAAGGAATCTTAATATAAACGAGTGAATAGAGGTTGTTCCTTTGTTGCCCTTTTTTTTCTATCTTGCCTCTCGTTCGCTTCAGAGGCCAAGATACTGTACGTCCCGTGCCGGGGCCTCCCCTTGGACTCTCGACTCAACGTCCCGACTCCGACTGCTCCCAGGCAGCTTCCTCCTCAGCTCAGTGGAGACAAGCTTTGGGGACATTGCGGGCACTGCATCAATTCAGGCTTTGAGATGGATGGTGGATTTGTTTGCGGTGGATCTGGGCGAACAAACATGTCATAGAATTCTGATCGCCATTTTTTCTTGTAGGTTTACCTTGTACTTCGGCTTTTGACGGCAGTGGGGATGCATCGGGCGGTGAGAAGATCAGCAGGGCATTTGACTGGCCAAGCCATGGCACCAAAGTCTTTGTTAAGCCAAACGGCCGATCGCAAAGGGGACTTCTCAAAGTCTGTTAAATCATTATCTTGACATTGTTACTGCAAATGGCAGCAGCAAAATCCCAAAAGGATGCAAAAGGTAGAAGTGCAGCCAGTTGATGATCACTTGCGACTGAATCATGCGTTGACAGTCAACATCTGTTGCGGCACCACATCTAATCAAGTTGAATAGATGTGGTGCTGAATGCGACAGGGTACAGGTATACATACAAGTATACAGTCGACACGGTCTAACCCCTTGCTTCTTTCCCCCAATGCTAGCTCATTGCCGGACTGGAACACCTCTACTGTCGGTGCCATGCTCGGAGGGAGACGCCCGACGAGCGGAGCTATAGCGCTGCCATGGCTGCCTGTTCGGCAGAAAGGCAGGAAAGATCCGCCATAACAACGAACGGACACAACATAGAGGCATCATATAGTATGGCAATGTATGGCAGTACTCTATATTTTATATAACTTCTCTAATGCCTGGATCTGCTGACCATCAGGGATTTGTGATGTCTACATGGACTTTGCATATCCATTGTTTCGTAGTGGTAACTATTTTAGCCTCGCCGCGAGTGTTTACGTAGTTCTACAATGATAATGTTACTGCATATGTTTGAGACCTGCATGAATACCGCAAGGGCAGCCCATCACCAAGCTGTGCTCAAACAACAATGACAATGATCAAATATTGTTCCACACCTATATAGTTTGAATGGTCTTCCACCATCACCATCACCCCATCTCACCCGCCTTCACCTCCATCCAGGTGGCCAGGCGCGTTGGCTGCCTGGAGCTCAAGTCGAGACGACTTGTCGGACCAGGATGTGGTCTTGCTGGGTGTGGCAATGACGTCCTGCAGCGGAGCTTAGAATTGGCATGGCGGTGTGCCGTGGGGTTAGTTTGCGCAGTCCGTGGTCACTCTTGATGTCTTGGGCCGGCCAGGGAGTAGGAATTGGACTTGGTATGGCTGAACAACGGCATTGGCATCAGGTGTTTTATGAGTCCTTTAGGATGGTGATGAAATGACAAAGAAGGCTCGGATGTCCAGGGTGAGGTTGAATAGTGTTTGCCTAGCCCGAAGAGTGGATACCGGATATAATACAATATAGTAATATATATATATGTGTGTGTGTGTGTGCGTGCGTTTGTGTGCACATTCTGTAAAAGCTGGGCGTTTCTAGTGGCAGACGGCAAACATGTCCAAGCATAAGAATATATATATATAAATCTATAAGTTATTTATATATTGACACTTCTTTCAGGATCATGTCATCACCTCCCATCCCTCTCCCTGGCTGGAGCGCATAAGTGAGCAACGAAGTGTCATGATCCTTCACTTGCATGAATCTACACGCCTGCAATGTTGGAGTAGTACAATCTGTCTATTGTACGGAATGTGTTGCGCAAGTTAATTCCAAACCCTGTCATTGTTTAATCAATGGTCCAACGGTGTTGTTTTCCAGAAGTGCTTGGTTGTTTATACAACTACTTCAGAACTCTTGGCTACCTAAGATCACTGATGTTCCTATTGGTTGGCCATTAGCTCCTCCTTCAGTTGTTCATATCCCTCATTGTAAAAGTATTTAACTGCTCATTGAAAAGGTATACCGTATACCACCCACCATATATCATTTGCAGGCATTTGCAGATACATTGCGCACCACACCAGAGATCAGGTAGCCTCGCAGAACCACAGAATGTAAGTTACAATAGCATGGAAGCCACACCGTTGAAGCCACTCCGCCTGAGGTGGGGCGAATCGCTGGGTACACTGTTTGCAGATGCTGGAGAATTTGAGCGACTGCCAGGCAACAACAGAAGATCAATGTGAAGAAATCCCACGCGGATCCGAACGGTGGTGGACTGCTGAACCTTATGGATACCGGATACCCCTCTACTGTAAAGTGGTCTGCGGGTTACAGAGCCCCCCTTCAGATGGTTGAACTGCGCTTGTGGCACTCGTCAATTGGTTTTTGACGGCTTAGCTTCCACCTGTTTTGAAAATTTACAGTTGTTTGGATTCAATCCTCATTGGTTGTAAAATTGGAGGCTTTGACCACAATCGACGGTAAGAGTGGCAAATGACCATGGTGCATGGATGCAAATGATGGGTTTGCTGATGTTTGCTGGCCCTCAGGCAGGTGGCAAATCGTTCAATTTTAGGTAGGGCCCCTCTTGGTAGGCGCATGATCTATCCATGCTGGAACTGTGGAATGCTTTCCTTTCCACATGTTTCATAATTTTTCAATATTTGTTCCATACATTTCATTGTATAGTACCCAAGCACCACGGGCTCCATCCAGCAATGTTCTTGTGCGCGAGGTGTTGGCTCACACACACTGAGTTAGTCTAACTATAGTAATGATATCTAATGATAGACCCGAGTGCGGTTCCGGGCCTGGGGCACAAACCTAAGAGAACTTGAAGTAAGCTAAGCAGATCTAAACAGGTGAACCAGAACATGAAACGGGCAACCAGCCACTTCAAATCAGACCCATATGCCTTGGCCACTTGTGCATGACCCCATTTCATTGGAAGTCCACGTTCATGAAGGCTTCAAGTTTCAAGAGGTCAGTTGAAGAAGTCCGATGGCGCGAGGTGCAGCTGAACGTGGTGGTTTTTAGCACTTTGATCTCCTTTCTAAGAAGCTGGACTGCGGCGTTCCCTGGCACTGCGGCGTTCCTTTCTGGATGGCACACACAGAATAGGGTACAACTCACGCATGCACCAGTGGCAGAGGCACCTCCTAATTGACTGGTCCGCGGTGCCCGCAGGCCTCAGAAAGAATTTATATCTTGATTTGTCACTGCCATTGGATGTTTCGGCACAAGAGTCCGGTGTGTTTGCTTGGTTGATGGGTAGCTTGTGCCATCGGAGGGTGTGCCCCTGTGCATTTGAATTAATGAACCAAGCTCGCACCAACTTGTCACTCAGGCCTGTTCGTTTTCTGAAGTGTTATTCTGAAGGGCTGGTTATGACCACACCTTTGTATTGTTATGTTCATAAATGCACACCTCATTCCACACCTAATGACCTGCTCAGTGAGGAATTGGTCAAATATGGTCACAGCCTCCAACCACCTTTCTTAGCACAGATCGCTTGGACGCACTTGGGGGGCTCCTGCTTGGATTCCCATTCTCGTTCTTCAGCAGGCTCGATGCCATGCCTCGATGCCACTAGGTCTTTGAGTTTGAGCCGGATGAGACAATTGTGGATTGAACCCAATGCCTCTTGGCCGACACACGATGCGATCAACGCACACCGCAAGGGCATCACAAATTTGCATCGTGAAGCCCATGTTTGCTATGCTGGAACGCTATTAGCAAAAGCACTGTTTATGTGCTGCGGTGTGGAAATTCACATTAGCGCACCACGACTAATGTAGCACATTGCTTTGTGCTTGTCCTCCAATGATCCAGATTGGTCAATACCAGCATCCAACCTTATCAAACATATATACCCTTGGCTTCTCAGGTCGTGACGTATACTGCAGCCATGGCTTGTGGACAGTGGCAACTTCCATTGAAGATCTGTCGCCGAGCCGCATAGGGATGCGCTCCGCGCCGTCTTACACACCCGGCTCATATCCCAACAGAAATCCCAACAGCATCCAACAACTATGTATTTGTTGCGCTCCCAAGTAACGCTACGATTCGCCAGTTGGGAATTGAACCTTGCAGGACATACTGCAGGACATAAAGGATTTTGGTTGCCCCTTTCTGATGTTCTACTGACTTCTTCTTTATTGCTGCCATTGATTGTGAGGCAAGATGAACACAGTGACCTCCAATGCCAAGCTCAATTGCCTTGTGTCGACTTCAGGACATTGGGATCAAGTCTCTTGTATGCTGAGTTGAGGTCTCGCTGTGAACGGGACCGAGTGGAATCAGTGGCCAGTTTTCACTGGGACAGGTTCCTAGGGGTGCAGGGAGCTTTGGCAGCTGCTTTTTCTTGATCTTCTCAAGCTTCGCTTCAGGGTTGTTCATCCAGTTCGTCCAGAGTAAAGAGTAAAGAGATGCCCCGTCGACCAAAGAAACCAGCATGCTGAGGCTGTTGAGACACTACTGCAAATGAGGCTGGCGCGGATGGGAGTGACTTGACGCTTGGATTCTTGAATATTTTGCATGGATGCAGGGGAGCTGAGGTCACCAGGCAAAAGGCGCCCAAGATTGATGACGAAGCGAAGTCGAACGAAATTGAATCAGATGTTCAATGGTTTTCATATACATCTATATTGTTATATATTTTGTCTAGACATATGTACATTTGTCATATATCGCCACAGATGTTTGAGAACACAGGTCATTGTCTCAGCTATGATTCCAAATCTCCTCCAGCCACTTCAGCCTCCCTCACAGCACCATCCCTGATTGTGTTCAGCGCATTCATGCGATATGAAGTGTGGAACTTTCATCAACACCGGTGGATGAGGTGTGAGCTTCAACTCCGTCATGAATGCACAGGCTCGTGACATCCGGCTTGGGAATTGGGCGGTTTTCCCACAGAAGTCTTTGTCAAGGTCCGATTTAAAAGCAACTAAGCAGTCAACAACACGTTTGTGTGCTTATTCCCGCAGGCAGTGCTGAGGCATGTGCAGGAACTCCTGAATCGTAAAGATGACTGCATCGACGCATGAGCCTTTGTTGAGGTCTTTTGGCCAGATGCCTTGGGCTTCGTGCAGGCAATGCGAAACCTCTCCTTACGCCAGAATTCATTCAGTTCCTTAGCTTTGCATTGTTTTGGCAAGCACTGGACCGTGGTGAATGACAGGGGCTCTAGCAGATAGGTTGTCAGGATCCCCTGAACATGAAGACGGATGTGATGATGTGCTGCCATTACATATACCATACGCAACAGCGCAAAGATTGAGAACCAAAGAGTCTTTTGGAGAACTTAAGTCACAAGCTTCTATTCTACTCATGATCACAGAAGGTCAGGAGGCACATATGGAGGTGGCATGATGCACCATGGAAGGGGCATTATACATAACGATACATAATTACCGTTGTATACAGTATACATATATCATATATCATACAGTCACATAATATAAGTTATACACAAAAAAAGAAAACATGTATACTACTTACACGCACAGAGACAGACCTCTTACACACCACGATGCACCTTAGAAGTGGCCTCCCGGGGCCCGTCGAAGGTCTCTCTCGTCGGCCTTGGGCTAGCCTTGGGCTCAGAGGGGAAAGGTGATGATGGGTGATGAAGCTGGGGAGGATGGAAACACGGTAATCAGCGGGTCAACAACATGCAGCCACTCTGAGCAGTCAACCACTTAGCTACTCAAATAGCTTTCAGAAGGGAGGCCATACAAGCATTCTTGGATTTGATGGCCACGGCGCGCTTCTTGGCCACTTGCGTGTGCCTCAACTTTGCATGGGCAGCAGACCAGAATGAGAACTGCGCTACCTGGGCAGCTGCTGGGGAATGTACTCGGAATGCCGCCTACATGCTGAAGGCAAGGTGAACCCTACAACTTGTATTGACTGCTTGGCAAGATTAGGGACCATTGACATGGGGTGAGTGTTTGATGTGCTGAGAAGCTGTCGCAGGTGGCTGAAAGCTGAGAAGCTTGTGTGACCCATGTCCGTAGATAATTTGTAGATATATGATATGGGTGACACGAGGATTATGAATGCATCTATATAGTAGTGCATCCTGATGAGTCATTTAGCCTATCTCCTTGACATGCTCAATTCATCGTGCCGGATGTCTTCCAAGGCTTGTTCTGCGAGCTGCTCGTCAAGCAAGGATGCATCGAAATGCCGTGAATGGGCTGCTGCGGGCCAGTGTGGGAAAAACGCAGCTTTCATGATGAAAGAATGTGCAAGCTTTTGCCCCTCCCAGCGGGGAGAGATGGAGGAGTGTGAGCAGTGGGCACGTATGGGGGGAGTGTGATCAGAACCCTGACTTCATGCTTCAGAAGTGTGCCTCAACATGCGGCTCGCTCCTGAAGCAGGCGGGGTGACCCCTGCAAGGTGGACCATCAACGAAGGGCACTGAGGTTGACACTGCTGAGATGCATGTTCGGATCTCGTAGCACAGGCACAAAATGGGGTTGTGCACATGGGACACTATCTCAGGCTTACTGTAGTAACATAGTGGCCACAAGAAACGGTTCGTCAAGCCATGTTGGCCAATATTTGCACCTGACCATTGTTCAGATGCAACTTGTACACTTATGCAATCTTATGCAACATGTTAAACACTGCTTCATGTACAGCTTGCCCTTCAACGACCCTAATCTACACAAGCGCAAACTGCCGCTTGAACATTCAGTTTGTCGCTTTGCCTAAACTTCGGCCTACCCTTGCCGACTACTGTTTGGCGCTGAGTGTCAGGGGTCGAAGAAGGCTGACGCCACTCAGGGTGCAGAGAAGGCGGAGGCCCTGCTCCAAAAAGCTCGAAAGGAGATGGAGGACAGACGTGACGGACGTCGAAGCTTCCCAGACGTCAACCTGAGCCGCAGCGCTATTACTGGGTTTGTTTCCTGCTTTGGGGATTCAGGTGGGGGGGCGTTAAACACCTTTGCTCCTTCGGAGGTGGCCTAGAAGAGCTACAATGATTGGACTGGACTGTTGGTGAAGGAAGAGACTCGAGAACGGTGCGCAGCCTTCCACCATTCTGACGGTTCCATTTGGACCCTGTCAATTCCGACGGCAAGGCAACCATCCGACGTAAGGTGACCAGGCAGGGTGAGTGGTGCGCCCCCCTTCACAACCAAGTTATATACGAGTAAGAACCGGCACTGAGGCACCCGCTATTCAGCCAGGTGCCTAGCCATAAGCCATTCGTTTTCGCATCAAAACAAGCTATCTACAGACCTGTACCACGCTCCATGGAAAATCTGAATCTACAGCGCCAAGACTCTCACATGTCCCAGCCCCAAAGACCCGAGACGAGACTGCCAGTCTGCCAGTTCGTAACTCACAGGTTGACATCGGTTTGTCCCACGACGTGGACAGGAGCTGCAGAAGCGCCTATCGGAAAAGAACAAAGTTGCACTTCAGGAAGCCGAGCGCCAGCAGCTTGGTCGGATTAGACTCGTGGTGTCAATTGCTTGAAATTGCTTGCTAGATGCACAGGACACCAGGATTGGGGACAATTATAACGTGTGATGACCGACATTTTTGCGTAGATGATGCATGCAGAAGTGTGTTGCTGAAAGAGGTGGTCCCCTAAGGCACGAGGAGCGGCTGAGGAAACTGGACTTTGCCAAGACGGTGGCAGAGCAGAGGGAGCTACAGCTACAACAGGCAAGCAAGCTCCATGGATTCATATGGGCTCATATGGGCTCCATGGCACGCCTATATAATATATCAGTGAAACCAAGTAGGAAGTCTCTCTCCTGAGCTCGGGGCGATCTCTATGTCTATCACTTTTCCATTCGGCCAAGACCCAGCTGCTCCAAGCAGTTGTAGGCAATTGACATCCAGCGATCCAGGTTAGAACCAGCAGTTTGGTTGTTTACCTTCAAGTTGGAGAAATGTTGAATCTCGCAAATTGCAATTGAACAGCTACAGTAAAGCATGTCATGTCTAAAATTGTGTCCAAGATACCTTAAGCAGGAAAAACATGTCGGAGTCCAAGCTGGCCCAGCTGGGCCTTGATAAGACCTGTCATCAGATGCTTACAGGTCTCCTTTAAACTCATCATTCTCCCAAGGCCACTAGTTTGCCCCAAATCAGCCAACGCTTTTCGCAGGCATTGGAGGCCTCTAAGGCGCGTGTCGCCATCTTAGAGGAGCAGCTCGCAGGCTTGAAGCGAGCCGAAGCGGACGCACCGCGCTGCCCGGTGCCTAGCACTGGGGCGCCCGGCACCACGAGGAAGAGCCTGGCAGCGGTTTATGGGGAGCCCAGGCGGGGTGAACGGCAGTCGGAGGTGGCGAAGTGTGTAAGTCATGTCGCGGTTGCATAAACTGAGTGGCACGCTGAGTCATCAGTTCCAGATTTGCTTGCATGCACCCGGGGATCCCACATAAAGAATCCAGACAATCAGACGGAGCAGCTGCTGCCGGCTAGGTATCCGCTGGTGGTGCCGGAGGAAAATGAGACACCTTGGATGTGTGCAGTAGAATGTTGTCAAGGGCTGGCCAGGCGTACAGGAGGCCGTAGAGAGAGTTAAAGTACATAATACAGATACAATTATGGTCAAAGCCTAAAGGAATGCTGGAATATCTTCCGGTGAGTGGCACATGACACGTTTGTACTGTGCAGGCATGCAAAGTGGAAGCCCCCTTTGCAGTGGTGAGTAGGTCCTTTCGTCTGGAATGAGTGCGAAGTCCTTCTTTCGGTGATGTTTTGATTAGCCGGGTGCAGCTAAGGACCGCCTGCGAGAAGGCACTACAGAGCCTTTGTGCTGGGAACTTGGATGGACAACAACCACCCTTAAGCCAAGTGCTGCAGGCGTGTCAGCACAGCGAGGACGTAACCCAACTGAAGCAAGAGCTCGCCTCCAAGCCTGCGGAGCTTGCGGAGCCTTGTCCAAGCCAACCAGAGACTCAGTTTTGGCCAAGCATAATTTTTGTTGAACAGCTGTGGACTGTGGTGCCCCTTCCTTTTTCTTCGGAGAAAGAACAGGTGGGCACTTGAGACCCGTGAGCGAGCCAAGTGAGGAGAGATCTGGCGGGAAGAAGTTGGATGAGGATGATGAGCTCCTCATTTTCTTTTCTGGTGCAGTACGTTGCGAGGGGAACTGTTCCTCAGGACTCATGCTATCATCTCTGAGGGCGACCTTGCAGCAATCCTTCCAGCTTTTGCTCGATGCTCGGAGGGAATACGTTGAGCGAACTGCTGGTTTCTTGGGCTTGCTTCATTGATGAAGCACAAAACGAACAGGTGGCAGAAAAACAAGGCAGCATGTGTGAAGGGCTTTGGTGCCCTCTCCGACCTGCAATCAAGATTCATTTGTTATATGATTCGCTAAGTACGCGAGTAGCTGCATTTGTGCAGCATGCAAAGACCGCTCCCATTTGATGAGTTAGACATAGATCCGAGAGCATGCACCTATATACCGTATAACAATATACCCAGGTTTACGTCATGGATGACCGATCCCTTGATATGGGCATCAATTCGAAGAATATGTTCCTAGATTTGCCCGTGTCACATCTGCATAATACATTCCTGTAGGTTAGTCAGCTACGACTGATTGATTGCACTATTCTTCCCGTGCTCGACCATACTGCACATCAATCCGATCCCTTTCCTACCTACTTGTCAGACATGTTTGGCCGTATTGACTATTGATTTGACTGCATCTTTATACTTGACCTTTCAAGCCCATGCGAAACAGCACCTTCTTGGAAGGTATTATGGTTGTGTTTTTATGTCATTCACCCGAGGATGGGTTTCTTCTGGCGCTGAACACCGCTCTTGGTGCAGACCCCGAAAAGGGCCGTGCTGCAGCCGCGCGGGCAGCGCAAATCGGGCGACGGCTTCGGCAACGGCTAGGTGAGCTCATGGAAGCCAAGGGGGCGGACTTGGAGAAAGTCTTGGAGATGATACTTGGAGATAAATCACGATGCACATCAATGCACATCTGGAAACATAATCCAGGAGGAGTTGACACGAGGGTGGCTAAGATCACCCTTGCAGTTGAACTATATAGTCTTTTTTTGTGCAAGTTCCCGTTTGTTGCCCCGTGGAGGTTGCAGTCCTTTCATGGAAGACTAACTTCTCGAAGCCCGTCGACCTACTGCACCAGTATCTTCAAGAAACCCTCATGCTTTACCATAGCCCCCTATCATCACAGAAATGCCACAGCTTCGTATAGCTTATAGTTATATATGTGCCAATGCGTGTCTAACATGGCATAGGCCTGAACCTTCCCATTCCTCCTAACCCAGTATAAACATATATAAATCACTATATAAATTTAACTAGATTTACATTCATAACATTCACTATATAAATTTACATTCATAACATTCACTATAAACAAGTGCATATATATATATATACATAATGAATCAAGATCCGTTCCGTATTTTATTTGTTGTTCCCCTCAGTCTCCGGACCCCCAAGGAGTCCACACGCCTCCGAGCTCCTCCAGCGCTTTTCGCACCACGCGGCCACGAAGACCGAGCATGCCGCGGCCACGGCGGGAAGGGCTGCGGAACGGCTCATGGCGCTGCTGCCGGCGGAGCACCGGAGGATCTGGCCCAGCGATTCACAGTGGCAGGAGAAACTTCCTGGCTTTGGGAGGCAGAAGCGGGGTTGTAGCCTATCAGCCAATCATGAGGTTTTCAACCCCAGGGTTCTTGAAGCGTCTTGGCTGTGTTGTAGTGCAGAATTGCTGTGGCCACTTCGTGGGTGAGATGCGGAGGCTCGAGTTCCAGTAGTCGGAACTACTCAGGTGACCACGATCGTTGCATTTTTTCAGATCCAAACTATCCGACACGACCCATACATAACGAAGACCCATATATGGTGTTTGCTCAATTGTTTTTGTTGCTTCCAGGAGCTGTCTTTGGTCTTCGTTTGGCTTCTCCTTTTGCTCTTCGTCTCCGTGCGGATCTTGAGCCTCACGACCAAGCTGGCCATCAAGCTCTTTGTGGTGCTGCCCCGGCAGCTCCTCACCGCCAGCTGCCGATGCTGTTTGCGGTGCTTGTGTCCATGTGAGCGGAAGAAAGCGCGTAAGAGCGAAAAAGGATGAAAAAGGGTTTGACCCCATTGGCCAGGCGGTGGTTGATGTGTAACGATGTGTATATGGGAGTCCTCTTTGTCTAATATCCCGTCAAAGATTAGATGCCGTTTGGAAAGGGATCTTCATGCAGGCAATACTTGACCTCTCCTGATAAGTACAAAGCCTTATACAAGTAGGTAGGAACTTGTGGTATCATTGATGGTTTCAAGCAAGAGCCAAAGAAATTCTACTAGCAGCCCGTTTGCTGAGAGTTAATGGCCCGGGACTGCAGTGTTGCTGCGGGTCTGGCTTAGATGCCATTTTTCACCAACAGCTGTCCCACCAACAGCTGTCCACAGGGCCACCAACCATGATTGAAATGAGGGTGCCAAAATAGAGGTCCAAAGATTTGTAGTTGTAAGATGCTGCTCTTTTGCCGAGGTGCCTGTTCAGCCATCAACTCCTTTGCAAAAAAGCAGTTGCAGCAGGAGTTTCACAACCTGACATTTTCGGGTACCTCATGGTACCTCCTGTTTGCCGCACGGATAGACTGTATCATGTGTGTAACGCCTGCAGCTGGCGCTGGTTCTTTTCTTCGATGCTTTCCGAGACTTGAGACGTTCGCGGCGTTAGGACATGAGGTTGTGGGCCAATGATGTTGTTTACCCCCCTCAACATGTTGCCAAGTGCAGGACCAGTGGCAGCTGGCGCTGGTGCAGTTGAGCCATTTGCTTGCAATGACAAGTCATGGTGAGTGCATGTGTGTGAGTGAGTGCAAATCCGACCACCTAGGGACTACTATAATATATTGTAACAGTAGTAGTTGTAACAGTTATATACTAGTTGTAGGCATAGAGTCGTATAGCATCGGACTGAGAGATAGAGTGTCAAACTCCCATCTACGTGCTTCCAGACCATATCGAGTTTCAAAAGCTGCAAAACGACACAGGCACCCCGTCTTGCACTTGATGGCATAAATGATTTAAATTGAATACAGCTGATATGAAGGTTCTAGCCAATCATGTGGAGGAAGTTCAGGTGCCTTTGAGCTGGATTTGACGGAGCTGGATGTTTTCGGCTACAATGCTGCCATCAGTGCAGCTGGATTGCAGGAAGCTACTGAGACGGCGCTGACACGGTGCCCGTGATTCATGGTGACCAATGTTCAGCATTCGGTGCCAGAAGTTGGTCGTTGGAGTTTTGATATGTTTTTTCTCATCGATCCGGATCAAACACATTGGGCTTCCGAAAGCCTTCTTGCAAGGCTTGCGAGAAGGGCCACCGCTGGTTGGCCTCCCACAGCCTCCTGACTCATTTGCAGCGTTGCAGGCGAGTCAAGTCATCTCGTGCCACGACTCGTGGAAAGTGTGCGGTCCAGGAGTCCATGCCATCCACTTCTATTTTGTGAGTGCATCTCACATGCACACACACATACACACCTTCCCAAACCAACGGTGACAGTTGCAGGTTGCCACCAGATGATGTGAGTGGGGAGCTTGGACTTGAGCACATGACAGTCTCACTTGACAAAGCTGACCGTGAAAGCGGTGGCCCTTATTGGTCCAGTGCGTGTCCCGGCCACATCTTATGTTTTTGGACTGTTTCTTGAACAGGTGACTCCTCAAAGAAGACCAGTCAGGACATTGTGAGGTGCAAATGCCATTTGGCCTTACGCCTTGCATCAAGTAAGTATTGAGTATGGCCGGAATCTGCTCTACTCAGACACCAACAACACGGTAAAATGAGGAAGATTCCTGGTTTTGTAGCCACTCTGGATCTTTGAATGATGGCCCAGATCTTGAGAAGTTCCTGACCGGCTGAAGGTTCTGGCTCATTCTTGGCCTCTTTGTCTCCTGACGCTTGGCTTCAGGCCCTGACATTGCTCAGGCGCCAAGGGTCGTCTTGCGGGCGGGGGAGGGTAAGCGACAGGCGTAGTATACAGCGCCCTCGCACGGCGCGCGCATTTTCGGCAGGTCGGGCTTTGCGACGGCAGTGGGGGTGCCCAGCAAACCTGCCCGATTCAAAAGCAACATGACACTGGCTTCACAACGAAGATGAGAATCCTTTTTACAAAGCGGGTGGGATGCTTGGAATCATGTTGTACTCCAAATGTGGATGGATATTTGCTTCAAAATGGGTAATTATCCTGTATCCTTTGAAAGTTGAGTGTGCGTCCTGAAAGGGAACGAAAGCGATCCAAGAAAAGGTCAAGTTGATATCGGCTGCGTGAAATGAAGCCCCACCGGAACGCTGCAAAGTACTGCAGTCCAATCGACAAGCGCACCACCTATATATAGCTAACCTCATGTGTCTTTCCTTTGCGCTCATTCACCCCCTTTTTTCTGCGTCAGAACAAATGAGTACATATGTATATGACTGTCTTAGGGTCTGGCAGGCTTGGGTGGACAGTTGTCATTCCATAGAGAGTTCAGAACCTGTGTCCATTTTGGCTCAAGTCTGATCCAAACTGGCAGGTTCTGTGTTTTCTTCAGGAGTGACCTGGCAGAAGACTTCATGCCAGCGAGGGTCAGGGAGGGGATTGATGTTGCCCTGTTTACGGACTTGCAGGTACTTACCCCGGCGGCATGGCTGGACTTCACGGCGCACATCGAGTCCATGTCGGCTGCTGGGAGGCGGGATTCCGCCTTGGTGCTCTGGGAGTCCGTGGTCGAGATCTTTCATGTGGGGTCACCATCTGGAGCGGTACTCCAATCCCCCACGATGCCTCCCCTTCGACGCATCCCATGCACAGAGGTCCCCTGTTCCCGGTGCGAGCGACGCCTGGGAGGGCTCCGGTTCCCCTGGGTTGGGACTTGGACGCGTCGTGCCGTTGTGGTCCAAACCGGCGCTACACCGCAGAGTGCATGGGATGCCTATCATGCCAATCCGGCCACCTTCGACCTTTTGGGGCTGCAGATGGTTCGCAGCCCGCTGGATCGAGAAGCGATCTCGCCAGCACACGTTGATCGGCTCTTCACCCGCTTGGCCTATGACAGGGATGGCATTCCCTGGAGCCATGCGGTGGCCGTTTTCAGGATTTGGCAGGCGGGACGCCGTGCCTGGCGGGAGCCAACCCGGCAGGCTTCCACCAGTGGAGACAACAGGCCATCGAGCACATTGGCTCTATCTCGAACACAGGTCCCTCCGTGAGTGGGCGATGACACCTATGGCGATTAGCCTCGGCCTTATACCGCCAGATGCCAAGGAACGGTCCCGGGTGTGTCGAGTCGTCTCAGTTGACGAGGTGATCCATGAGGGCAGCCTTCCAGCTAACCACGTCTACGTCGACCAGGGCCACCACCGACATCGGCTACCGACTACCAAATGGGCACCTCCATGCACCCCAGGTGTGAATTGCTCAACGGACGACTGGTTGGCTTTCTACGTTACCCACATTCGCGAGACACTATGGGACAATCTCTCCGAGCTGCAGCACAAGGTGCTGGTGAGTGACACTGGCGGCGGACCAATTGTGCCCGGCGACAGCGCTGGCCGGCCTCGTGCTCGACTATTTGTCACCGCAGGCCCCGGCGCATCACCACAAGGCGGGCAGTCAAGCCAAGCCAGCTAGCCTCCAATCCGCGAGGATCCTTAGAGTGGTCTCCATCTCAGGGGTCAATGCAATGTCACCTACGCAGCTCTTCCCGCAGGAGAGCGTGATCCTGGCGTTCAAACGCCTTTCCCCCTTTGAGTGGTTCGCTGGTTTTCGTTTCCCACTGGTTGAGGACCTTGTCAATGACTTCCCATTCATCAGCTATCCGACCTGGAGAGCCCAACGAGGGTTGGATTGGGGGGGGACCTCTGGGACCGCTGGGAGGGACCCAGCATTCCCGACTCATGCAACCTAGGATGCAACGCCATGCTGAAGGCCAACAGGCAGGTGCGCTGAGTCACAAAGCAGCTCTACCACCGCTTCTTAGCTTTGGCCTGTCCGTTGACGACCACTTCACGCAGTCGCTGGCGCTTGGGCAGCAACCCTTGCCCACGGAGAGACTTCCGTTGCTCGACGGCGACCTCCGGTTTTGTGCCGAGCACCACTGGAAGCCACCAGCTGAGCTTTGTGCCTTGCGCCGACGAGCCATTGGGGCCATTAAGGAGTTGAAGCAACGGTGGAGCCCAGTGACAGCCCAGCTGCGGCGACTTCAGACCCCAGCCATTCGCCGAGTGACGGCGAGCCGCGACCTGGGCTTAACCGCCCTCTTGATCATGCTGATGTCTTGGGCTGACACCACTTACCCCTACGGGTTGATCAAGGGCATGCCAGCGGTGGGCACAGCCCCGCCCTACGGCATCTTTCCGGTCCAGCAAGGAAGAGAGATTACCCTGGCAGATGTCCTGGAGGGATGGCAGGACCACAACTCAGGCATTATCCGGCAGTTGAAGCCAGGGCCGCACGATAGCGTGTTGCTTGAACAGAGCGAAGCTGACGCTGAGCATGGTTTCTGCACGGAACCGATGACGCACGCGCAGCTCCTCCGGCACCTCAAGGGTGCCCCTCACCGGCTCATTCCAAGATGCATCATTGTCCAGTCCAGCGGCAAGAAGCGGATCATCGACAACGGGGATACAGGGGGGCCAATCCGAGCGTTCCTCCGATTACAACAAGCTAACCTTATGCTCCCCATTCAGGCCGGCTCAGCACATTGCCGCTGTGGCTGCGTGCGCTTCCTCCGCTCAATGGCACTCTCGTCTGGAGTGGGACTCCTTCGAGAGCGGCGGTGAGGACTGGCCTAATGCGTATCGAGGAACACCCATCTCACATGAAGAGTCTCTTGGTTGTGCGGTAGCGTTCTGGCATGAGCAATGGCAGCAACCAGCTTTCCAGTTGTATCATTCTCTGTTGTTTGGTTTGCCGCTGGCGGTCACCAGCTTCAACAGATACAGTCGGCTGGCAGAAGCTCTGGGCCGCAGGTTGTGCCTTTGCCTCACCTCCCTCTACTTCGATGACGCGAATATCGTTGATTGGAAATCTTCGAAAGGCTCCGGCCAAGCAGCGTTCAACCAACTGAATGTCCTCATCGGCACCCCCTTCGCCGAAGAGAAACGCCAAGCCATGACGGCCAGTGGCATTTTCCTTGGTTTGCATCACGATTTACGTAGAGTCAGCGAGGGATTTGTCCGTTTTTGGCCTCGAGACAGATTGATCGCCAAAATGGAGGCGTTTCTGAACGATGCACTCAGTAGACGCTGGCCTCTGGCACGGCGTCAAAAATTTACGGCACGCTGGCCTTTTTGGAACAAGGCCTCTACGGCAGAGTAGGGTGCAGCGGCCTACAGGCCATCAAGGCAAGGCAGTACGAGACAGACCGTTGCCTGACGCCAGCATTGAAGGAAAGCTTGCAGCTGATCCAAGCTGTTCTCCAACTCCGGCCGGCTAGAGTGATGGAAGTGATCCACCCCGTGGTACCAAGGTTCATTGTGGCATCGGATGCAGCCCTTGAAGCACCTTTCGCAGGTACAGGCGGCTTCCTTATCATATGGTTCGACGGTGCTGCAGAATTGCGTGAAGCTTTTATGGATCCTTCTTGAGAAGTGATAGGTTCATCTTTTAATTTAGTAGTCCAAGAAAAGACCTTGGAAACCAGGTCTGGCACAAGTGGTCCACAAGTGTGGTGGAGAAAAAAATGAGGTGAAAGGAAGTGTTTCTGTTTTGCGCAAAGGTGTGGCACAAGTGCTCAATTACCATTGGTCAAGTGCTCCAGGTCCAATGCCACAGCTCAGCCAAAAAGATTTTAACCAACCAAAGAAAAAGACCCGCCCAAACACCAAGGGAATGATTTCAAACCAAAAAAATTTCCAGGAATGAGGTCGTTATTATGCCCCACTTCCTATATCACACACAAACCTATAAACACTTGGTATGAATGAATTTTCAAGAGTCAAACATTGCATCAGCAAAGTCCCAAAGGGAAATAATCAGATGTTTTTCTTGTTAAAAGCTGAATGAAAACCACATGGTCAACAATAATCATGTTAGATTGAATAATAATATCAGAAGGTTTAAATGCTTGCTGTGTGTACTCAGACTCGCAAGTGACTTCAACTTTGGGGTTTCTTGATGCCTTTCGCTTTGTTGTGAAGAGTTGAAATCTGTAGCATTTTTGTAGAGGGTCCTGACAGCGCAGCTTGGAACCATGATGGCGGCTTTGGTTGATGTGAGCTCTGATGATGGCAAGGGCTTGGAAGGCTTGGAGCTTTGTTCGATCACCACCGCTGGGGATGATGAGATGCAATATGGCGACCAGCATTCCTTGGCCCCATCAGATTTTTCTGACCTACCATGGGAGGAGCCAATCCTGGAGCAGTGTCTGGATGAGATGCCAATGTGTGATGTGACCTCAGGTGGTGGCCACGAGGATTTGCCTGACTTGGAGGTTGTGAACACAGGGGGCACGAGGTCTGGTGGTCTGAAACGGCCATATTCTTCACATGCTTCATTGAGATCTGTGAGGCTCAAAGGTTCAGTCCGACGTTCTTTGAATGACCTTGAGACCATCATCGTGCCATACCCTTCTCCCGGTTCCTTGGCTGGGAATTGAATGTAAGCATACATTGAGCAGTATGACAATCACTTTGATATATCCTTGATAGAGATATATATATATATATATAGGTCATCAAGACTTAGAATTAGTGATTTGCATTTTCCTTTTTTGGTGATCAGCAACTATAAAACCAATGGTTCCAAGTGTTCTTGCCCTCAAACCATCAGGTCATCATCAGGATCGCGCTTCAACACTGGACTGGAAGAAACGCAACGTCAGGAAGCTTCTCTCGATGTATTTCACCAACAAGAAAGCTGCGGTAAATGACCCATGGGCCATGAGGAAGGTTTGGCGTCAATCCGCCCTTGCCAAAGAACCATTGGAAGATGGAAGTTGATGCCTTGCTCTCCGACTTGGTGATCCTTCAAGGGTGCCTGAACCGTTGATACAAACCCACTGCAAAATAGGTGGGGCCATTTTCGTTTAGGGACTTCTCACCACACAGGT